GGTTGTTTTGGCCACCTAAGCGCCGTTCTGACTATTGAAGGCTTCGTTGCCGGAGTGATTTTGTCATCTTCAAAGCCCACTGAACACTTGGACACTGGACACTGGACACTTAGGATCTTCTTCACTGCTCAGGGCTCTTTAACCACTGGGAGGGCCCTTTCGCCGCCCAAGAGCCCTTCTGGCTGATCGATGGTCTCCCTGACAGGTCGGAGGAACCCTGGGCTCTCGGGAGTCAGTAAAGTAAACGTAAAACTCAGTTAAAAGTTCAGTAAATGCCCCAGGCTGCCTGTCCTGCTTAGTGCCCTCTCTTGCCGCTCAGGAGGCTTGCTCTTAACTGGCCTGTCTAGCTATTAGGGGGACATTTTGGCCTCCAAGCAATTCTCCAGTCACTGATATTTCTTTCTGGCTGCTCAGGGTCCGCACTGGAGCAGTCGTCAAAACACATTGCCACGAATGAGGCTAGAGACTATGTGTGGTATGGTGTTAAGGGTGGGTGTCCATTTCCCTGGCCCGTAAAACGCAGAACCCATGGTTTTGTGGAGGTGTACGCAAAACTGCTTTTGTTGCGTGCAGTGTGAAAAAAAAATGTACTTACTGAATGAGTACAGTCCATCCTCTGCCTACTCTCTAGAATCAATGTGGCCACCAAGTCACGGATGTGAGCCTCAGCTCATCACCGTGGACACTCGAGCTGCTTTAGGGACCCAAAAGCTACTTAGTAGCTTGCTACTTAGTCTGTCATTGAAAATTCCTTCAGCACACAAAATAGCCTCGGAACTACCCAGGCCCTTTTGGACCGTCTTAGTTCTCCTCTGTGCCCATCCCTTCTGCAAGGGTGAGAATCAGGTAACGCCATTTAGCATGGAGTCTCAGAAGCTCCGTGCGATGAAAGCCCCGGTGGCAACATCCGTTCACGGGCCGCGGTGCCCTCTCGACCTTCTGTGTATTGAGGGCAACTCTGGTCGCCCACGAGCCGTTTCAGCTGATCAGCGCCCTTCCGGCCGCTGAGAGGCTCTCTGGCTACTGGTGAGCCTCTTGTGGGTGGGGCCCCTCTCTGACAGCTTAGGGGCTTAGCTGATCGCCCAGACCCCCTAGTACCAGAGGAACTTTTGATCACTTGTGGCTCTTCAAATCGAAGTGCCTTTTGTCTGCCTGACTATATATATAATATATATATATATATATATATATATATAGATATGATGTATATATATATATATATATATATATATATATTATGTATATATATATATACACGTTTATGACAAAACGACTATTTTAGACATCTTTTTCAGTGGGAGGGGGGCGATAAGTGCTTAGTGGCTTGGCAGGCTGGTGAGGGACCCGGACCACTCAAGACCCACCTAATTACTGAGATGATCTCTGAGTTCTCAGGACCGACGGGCCACTCAGGACCCCACTAGGAGCTGAAAACCCTTCATATCCGCATGACCCTTTACATGCTCGTGGTCCTTCAGGTGCAGAGGACATATTCTCCCTGTCAAAGCCACCTGGGTACTTAAGTTACCTAAAAAAGCGCTTCAATCTTATACGTCACCCCGTTAAGCAGCCCCGCCAGCGTCAAAATGTGCCGAAAGGCCGGGGTACTGAATCGGCCCGCAAAATCCAAGCGCGGTCAGATGGAGCCTTTACTACGGGTCCCCCAGAAAAGCTTAATAACTAATATGGACAATCAGATAACCTTTGAATAGCTTATATTTCATTTTAGTGTTTAAAACGGAGCTGCCGTTAGTCGCGTGTTAAGCGGAAACTTAACGCATCCTGCGCGGAAGGTATATTGAAGTGCGGCTTAAAACGGCAACGCATGGCAATGTTAAGGTACAAATTTATGCGCGGCTTTAGTTGTGTGAAATTGAAAAAAAAACTAGGCAATGGTAAAGATAGTGACAGTCGCATGACTTCAATAACACTAGCAATTTCGCGCATTCGGTGGGTCCAAATCAACAAGCAAACTGTTGAGCTTCTGTACGCCAAGGGCAACAGAGACAGCTAAGATCGGCGATAGCTGGTTTGTGTCGTGTTGATGTAAACACATGTCATTTGATTGTTTAAACGGCAGGAAACCATTGAGCCTGAGCCCAGAATTTCTGGTGTCTTCGGTCCACCAAAACATGTAACATTCTTTTAAGGATGGGCTGCGGCCGCGAATGACTGTTTTCGTTTTGCTTCGTTTCTTTTTTTAGTTTTGCTTAGCCTGACAAGAATAGGAAACAATTGGGATACGTTTTCCTCAGATAATTAGTTCTGTGACCCCATCTTTCCGTGGCCACAATGCATTCTTCTTCCAGCATGCACCCACTACCTCTTGCCCAGCAGTTGCGCAGCGGCTTTCGCTTCAATCTCAGCCCAACCGGGAACCCAATATCCTGCTCTCTCCTTTCCGGGCAGGCTAGAAACCTCATTTAACCCTGCATATACCAATTGCTGCGGCGCATCAAACGACGCCGATCAGCCAACACATACCATGCCAGGCTTGGAGCATGTCTTCTAGGGTATATTGGAGAGTACGATGATGGCTGGGGTGGGGCTCGAGGCGTACACGTGATTTCCATGAGCGGACGTGGCCTAGAGGGGGTCAGCATGTATGACGTCATCCCCAGTGTTACCTGCCACCGGTTTGAACTTTGTCATGTGCTCAGCTGCCCTAGCTGTCGAAGTCTTTCGCCGTTTTTTTTTCGCGGTCGAGGATGGCAAATCCAGCCGTAGATCAAGCTTAAACGTGGGGCCACGGCAAGTCCCGAGGGTGGAAAAAGACAGCGTTCGTGATTGAGCTACCCCATTATGTAGGGCCGGTGTGCCTGCATTCTTCGCAGCAACAGTTATCCTGGCATCATTTAAACAACATTGTATAAATGAACGTTTCGGTTGTGTGCATGATACTCCAAGTTGCGGTGATAAAGGAGACGTTCGGTGACATGCCGATTCTGATAACGCTGCTGGGCATGGACGCCGCTGCCATTTCTTGCCATATGGTATTGCGTTATGCTGCTGGCGACATTTCTGTCCGCAGAAATTTGGTCGGCGACGAAAAATACACCCTACCCCCTCCGCTCTGGTTTCTCATATTTGCAGCTTAACCACTACACTGTTATTACCCAAACTACACGTGCTCGGACGCATTGTTTAAAAATGTCTGAGGGATGCTGCCACTACTTTTTTCATGAAAATTTGTAGTGCTTGCTTCTGAACGCTGTGTGTCAATGTCGCCAGTGGTTGCAAAGTTACTAGCTTATATAAAGCGTGGTCGCCAGGTTAGGCGAGGCTAGGAAGGGACAGGATTTTAAAAGAAAATCCGACACACAAGGCCTTGTTGGGGAATTGGTGAGTTGGTTAAGAATATTCCCAAAACCAACTGATGAGATTCCCTACTAGCTCATCAGGATGTATGACATTTATCCGTTTCTGCTGCTTAGTTGTATGTTACAGGCATATCTAATGACGATGAGCTTGTGCCATGCCACTCACCTCACCCCTGGTTACACCGCTCCAAATAAGAAACAGACTAATCGGTCCGGCGGATCGTCCTGCCCGATCCCATCCACCGAATCGGGTGTAATTTACATTGGCAAATACTCTAAAGATCGCGATTTAGGTTGGCTTTGGTTTCACATTTTGATGATTTATGGTCTAAAACTAGGTGACGATAATGTCTGTAGGCTATCTGAACACTTAACGGCATTACATTGGCAGCGAGGTGAAGACTTTGCGTGTCCCCTCTCCTCACACCTTTTCACATGTTTTATGACTTTGGCATTAACAATGACCATCAAAGATCAGCTTCTCAAGCTGAAATATAAGTGATCTTGATAAAATTCTCGCGTTCTTTTATCAAGTGGTAATAAATTATGGGAATCCGGACTGTCACAGGAGAGAGATTCGAACAGAGATAAAGTATGTTGAAAGAAGTACAATCGTGGGGAGAAATTATGTTAGCTTACCTTCATTGGTATCATCACTTTATCATTCCTTCTTGCGTTAAAATGGACAGATTTTTGATCATTTAGTAAGGAACAATGTTATGTCATTAAAGCTGGGATTTGATTAAGCATACAGGTTTGACCATCTTGGTTTTAACAGGCATTGGCTTAGGGGGACCAGATTCGGATTGGATCAGGCTGGGAAAAATCATGAGTTTGGATCGGATGTGGACCATGCCTGACCGGATACGCATCAGATGGATCGAATATACCCGTTTGTACCCAAATGTACCTGTCTCGTACTCTGCATTAACGCCCACGAGGTCGCTGGCGGCGCTCTCAGTAGCTTGGTGAGGTCAGTGCGTGTGCGTATGCGTGTGCATGTGCGTGTGCGTGTGCGTGTGCGTATGCGTGCGTGCGTGCGTGCGTGCGTGCGCGCGTGTGTGTGTGCGTGTGTGTGTGTGTGTGTGTATTGGGCTGGTGATGCGGTGCACTTGCCGGCAGGAATTTTTGATGTAGGTGCTGACGCGCTGTCAGTTCGTGTTTCAGCGACATCACACACATCTGCAGACGTAAAGTTCAAGGCCGTGATCCAACGTCAACTTTGCAGACTGACATCACTTTCACGTCGGTCAACAAGCCGGCGACTGTTCGCCGACGGTGTGCGTGCCGGCAAATCCTGATCACGTGAGGCCGTCGGCGGGGAAACGGCAATAAACATCGACCACATGCTGCGGCCGAGCCAAGGAATTTGGCGGAAAAATCCTCTACTGTTCAAAAGATGCGGATAAACGTCTATTATATATTATAAGAATTCCGCAATGGAAGCAACCCATTCAAACAACACAATCAGAATATGCTCATGAGACATGTTGTGCGATAGCGAACATGTTGACATGCTGAGGCAAAATCATGGGCATCAGACCGGGCGACAGACGGACAAGTCTGGACGCCAAGAGCCCGTCCATCGACGACAGCTATGCTCTCGAACTTGTACCTTCACGAAGTCATTCCCAAACAGACAACAAGTTACTCATTATGAATGATACAAATGGAGATATCGGCTACGAAAGATAGTATTTTCGTTATATACAATTTGCACGGGCACCTCACGTCGCACTGAAGCGCCGCATATCGCAAGACCTTCTGGAGACGCTTGTAGCTTCTCGACACACGCATCGAAGGCGGTCAAGGTATCGCTGTCCAGCCAGCATGAGAATCACCAAGGAGAGAGGACGCCTCTGATCACATCACTCGCCGCGGGCTGGGCAGCCCGCACCAGCGGCGTCTCCACGAGCACCGCAGTCTGACCGGGCCAGCCTGCAGCTCCGGTTTTTCAGCTCATCGACCGCTCATCGCACCGCCTATTGGAACCAGTGCAAGTCTTTGGTGGCTGTCTCCGGCATGGAGGTTCCTTCCAGGCCTGAGGAAGAAGAGCGCAGTGAAATGCGGTGCCTCATTCCCGGGGCGCCTGGTCTCACTACTGTGTTCGTGTTACTTCAAGGTGCTCTCGATTGAGTGAATTATTTTCAAGAAACAGCTGCATGCATCGTTATAATTACCAAAGTCGTTTAACAAGTACGTGAAGTAAAGTGAAGTAGCAAGTACAGCAAAATTAAGCCCCAATAGCATGAACAATCTCCAGATAAGGGCGAGAATGGGGACGTGCTTTGGTGCGCTTTGCTATCCTTTTTTTGTGATTTTGTGTGAACTTCTTTTTTTGTGAATTGTGACTGCCCCTGTCACCCAGAGATGTCGAGTGCGAAAACCAGCCCGCCGCTCTGGATGGTCTTCAAGCTTGTGGGTTATGCGTTTATTGTAACTGTGAATCATTCATACTGCGCCGCTAGAATGCTATGATGAAACACCATGCGGTATGGCAAATAATAATAAATAATAATAGTAATAATAATAGTAATATAATAGTAATAATAATAGTATAATAATAGTAATAATATAGTAATAATAGTATATATAGTAATAATATAGTAATAATAATATAATAATAATGTAATAATAATAAATAATAATAGTAATAATAATAGTGCATTTGACTCAGGTCACAAGTAGCATCAATGTGAAAACTTAACAATTATTTCGGATTGGGTGGAGAAGCCTTCAAAGAGCGACAAAAAGAACATGCTTTGTAAAAACGCTATTTCAGATACGAGTGTATGCGTAATCATGGACTCTCAAAACGTGTGCTAAGGCATCTGTAGATTGCAGTGCAGCTGGAATGCACCGTTGTGCACCTTCAGTGACGTGTGGATTAAGCCTTCAATATCATACGGAATGTCAGAGCGACAGATTAGGAGATAGTGCAGAACCTGCTGATATCTGGCTCACGACGGTCCCATGTTTTGCTGACCCACCTGATGAGTACATGTAGGAACTGTAGCTACTGGGGTCTAAACTGTGCCCCTGCTGCATTCCAAAGCGACCAGCCGTAGACTGAAAAGGAGACGACTTGATCAGCCAGATATTGATCCCACCGCAATGGGGGGGGGGGGGGGAGGGATAGGGGGGGTCACATACGCTGCATCTATGGTCCTGGGGACTCTGTGCATGAAAGCGGTTCCTGCAGTGCGTAAAAAATATGCTGCGACATACATAATTTGCGGGAGACACAGACACAGACACAGACAGCAAATGAACACACACGCATACAAATCAACACGTCTAGTTTGATCATTTTTACATGCTTTCTATTTGAACGTTACAAAATACCGAAGAAGCTTTGATCTTTGGACTGTTCGGGACGTTGAATTTTCAGTCATCAGGTCACAAAGAGATAGGTCGAGGATCTTATAAAACTATGCATTTTGCAAAGTTGCCTGATTAAGTAAAATGGTGTGCCAGTGATAAACGATGTTCCAACAGCTGAAATGTCTGTTGGATGCTGCACGGGGCTGACATAAGCCTAGACAATATTCGTTCCACACATATGGTCAGATAAGGAAGCGTGATCTAACTACGGAAAACAGGAAGGGAGATCATTTGGGCACCCTGCAGCCGAAAGATAGTCTATAGCAAGGCTCGGCTTAACAAATGCACAATGGATGGAGCCCCAACCAAGCCCAAGTCGATTTTTTCAGTTCAGGCTCACAAATGCGCTGCCAAAAATGGGTCCTACGGCCGTTTTGGTTGGGGTATAACGAGCGTCAGTGTAAGGGAGCCGCAGTAAAGCGCCACCGGTTCCCTTCGATAGCCATTACAGACAGCGGCCACCTGAGGTGCTGGATGCAGCAACCCGGGGATAATGAAGCGGTGTGGAGTGAACTGGTGGGACAATGTGGCATATCTGTTGCCACGAGTGCCTTGTGTTTGTAGGCGGAGAGAAAGCGTATTTCGGACTTGCAACAGGGGTTGCAGTGGAGTACTCGCATCTAGAGGAAAGCATTTGCTGTCAGGCTTAGTCCGCGTCATGGCATTCGTTATATCGACCAAGTCGTCAAGAAAACTCGACTAGCAACGTACATTTTTGGCATTCCGCAGCTTAAGTTGTCATTAAACGGATGTCCTCGACAAGGTCTGATTTTTCAAGGTTTCTGCAGCAGCGCAGGGGAAAAAGACAGGACCGACACAATTTCCCAGCATGGCATCGCGTGACAACGGAAAAGCTCCCGCCATGTGCCCGTATTAAGTCACGATTTCCCATGCATTTGCTGTTCTCTTTCAGGAAACACGAGAGTCCAATCAATACGGGCCTACTGCGATCTGAAACGGTTGTCAGTTGCTGAGCAGCAGACGCCGGCAACACCACAATGTCCTGGACCACATCTTCCACGAAAAAGGTCAGCTGTATGCTTACTACTGTTCTGAGGAGCACTCGGCCCACGACACTGAGGTCGGTCCCGTTGACACGCATTTGAACATCACTGGTACGACGACCTCTTCTGGACGAATGCTGCGCCCAGTCTCGCCCCTCGGCCGACACCCCTGGGACCTAGCCTACCAAGCTCGCAGCCGACCCCATCGCCGCCCTCACCTGCAGGAAGAGGCTGGGGTACTGGTTGTAGCGCGCTGAGCCGCCGGCGCCGTACGAGAAGTTGTGGCCGTACGCCTGCGTGGTGATCGGGTAGTACCAGTCGGGCGACTGGTGGAGCCCGGCCAGCGAGGCCGCGTGGTACGGGTCGGCGTACAGCTCGTGCGAGGTCAGTGTCGTCCGAGAGTGGTAGTTGCTGTTCCAGAACGAGGCCGGGAAGTTCCGCTGCGACATGGGCACCGGCGCTGCGGGGTAGACATCTGGGGTCACAGGCGGACCACGTCTAGGGTCCGGGGCCACAGGCGGAACACATCTGGGATCTGGGGTCACGGGCTGCAAACGTCTTGAGTCACGGAGGGGAGATGTCTTGAGCCGCAGACGACAGGCGCAGGGGTCACAAGCGGCAGATGTCTGAGGTCACAGGCGGCAGACGTCTGTGGTCTGGGGTCACTAGCGGCAAACGTCTGAGGTCGCAAGCGCCAGACGTCTGGGGTCACAGACGACATATGTCTGGGTCACAGGTGGCGGCGGACGCCCCACGACACGAAGCTGTCACGCAAGTTTGGGCACACGCTGCCAAACGAACGGAGTGTCCTTGCCTGGCGTAGCATGTGAACGCCGCACAGGCACGCTGCGAGGAAGCCGTGTCATGAGCAGGTGGCAGTGGTGGCATGCAGAGCGACGGGCTTTCTGGAGCACGTCACAGCTATTTTACGGAGCGATGCACAAACCTGTTCTCATATCTCCCGGAGCACAAAGGCATATGACACATTTGTGTCGCCGTGCTGTTTGCTGTGAAATCTATCCGAGACCGAGGCCGATGCTATCTGAGGCCATCTAATGTCCAGGACAAATTATGGAAGTATGCGTTTAGCCGGCGCGCGCGTCCAGCCCGTGGGAAGGCGGCCCCTTATCGCAGGCCATCGCAGCGGCTCCATGCGCCCTGACCGTGAGTGGACCGCCTTCAGCGTGCCAGTATCCGGGCCGGCGTGGGCGGCGTCTCCACGTCTGTGTGTGGGGGCGATGTCGTCGCGTCCGTGTGGACGAGCTGAACATCCGCGTCTGTGTGCGTGGGCGGTGTATCCACGTCTGTGTGCGTGGGTGGTGTCTCCACGTCTGTTTGTGTGGATGGTGTTCCCGCGTCTGTGTGCATAAGCGGTGTCTCCACATCTATGTGGGTGGGCGGTGTCTCCGCGTCTGTGTGAACGAACTGAACATCCGCGTCTGTGTGCGTGGATGGTGTCGCCGCGTCTGTGTGCGTGGGTGGTGTCTCCGCGTCTGTGTGCATGAGCGGTGTCTCCACGGCTATGTGGGTGGGCGGTGTCTCCGCATCTGTGTGGACGAACTGAACATCCGCGTCTGTGTGCGGGGATGGTGTCGCCGCGTCTGTGTGCGTTGGTGGCTCCGCGTCTGTGTGCGTGGGTGGTGGTCTCCGCGTCTGTGTGCATGAGCGGTGTCTCCACGGCTATGTGGGTGGGCGGTGTCTCCGCATCTGTGTGGACGAACTGAACATCCGCGTCTGTGTGCGGGGATGGTGTCGCCGCGTCTGTGTGCGTTGGTGGTGTCTCCGCGTCTGTGTGCGTGGGTGGTGTCTCCGCGTCTGTGTGCATGAGCAGTGTCTCCACGTCTATGTGGGTGGGCGGTGTCTCCGCGTCCGTGTGGACGAACTGTACATCCGCGTCTATGTGCGTGAGCAGTGTCTCTCGTGTTCTGGCGCGTGAGCTAGTGTCTCGCGTTGTGTGCGTGGGCAGTGTCTCCCGTCTGTGTGTAGTGGGGGTGGGTGTGGCGCCTCCGCCCCCGTGTGCGTGGGTGGTGTCTCCGCGTCTGTATACGTGGGCGGCGTCTCCGCGTCGTGCTGGCGGGTCTCCACGGTGTGGGTGGGCGGTGTCTCCGCGTCTGGGCGTGGGTGGTGTGTCGCGTCGCGGGGTGGCGTCCGCGTCTGTGTGCGTGGGCGGTGTCCCCGCGTCTGTGTGCGTGGGTGGTGTCTCCGCGTCTGTGTGCGTGGGTGGTGTCTCCGCGCCTGTGTGCGTGGGTGGTGCTCCACGTCTATCAGCGTGGGCGGTGTCCCCGCGTCTGTGTGCGTGGACGGTGTCTCCGCGTATATCTGCGCGGGTCACCCGCACGTCTGTCTCGGGCCGCTGCGTGGGCCGCGTCTCGGCGCCCCTCTCAGGCAGGTCGGCGCGCGGTTCATGTCTCCGCGCCTGTCCGCGGCGGCCGCCGTGTGTGGACCGGCCGGACCGGCGGCACACGTCTCTGTGTCGCCGGCCGGCCCGCCGCCGACTGAAGCCCGGCTCTTTTTCCGCCGACATCAAAGCGCCGCCCGCACGTAATTGCCGGCGGAAGGCAAGGCATGCGCTTTTTGTGGCCGCCGCCGACTCTGAATTGACCACTCGAAGGCTAGCCGGTGGTTCATCCAGCACGTTTCATACGGCCGATTGGTGGCCGGGGCCCGGGTGGTAAGCACTCGACGTGTTGACGGTGGCGCAAGCGGCCGACGTTAGGTAAAGTCGCCCCGCGGCTGTACCGGGAAATATAGCCCAGACGCTACCGCCTGGCGTGGGCTTCATGACGGCCGTCTGCCCGCTTGCCATTACTCACCGAACGTTTTGCATGATTGGCGGTAGGATCAATCAGTAGTGGAGCCTGTTTCGTGCAACATCAACCCGTCATTCAACTGAGGTAGATTATTGGAAAAGTTGGCTGCGGCTGTGGAACCGCAAAGAGCAGCTAACAATTCGGCGTGCTGCCCAAACCGTCAGAGCATACCATTCCCAAAGCCAGTGTGACGTAAACTTCTCCATGCAAAGAAGATTCACCAGGAGAGCTGAGCAGTCTTCGTCTAGTTACGATGATGACGGCTGATCACTGCATACTGTCGGGTTTTTGTTGCGATATATACAGCGACGGCTTTCACCGATTTGTCCCAGGCCCGTCAGGAATTTTCACGGTTCATGAAGTCCATGGGTACATTTCGGATATTGGTCAAATGCGGTTTGGCGGTGGGTACAGACTTCACGGCCCGGGTAAGTTCACGAGCACCCTAACCAGACTAGGGCAATAGAAACGCTAGGTGATAAGCTGCCACTTTTTATATTTGGAATACCCGCGCCCACCACGGCATCGAAATTTGAGAATCCGCACCCGCCCGGCATCGAAATTTGAGAATCCGCACCCGCCCCGCAAGCCGAAAGTTCCCCAAACAGCCCGCATGCGCCCGCCCACCCCATTTTGCACATATTCTTTTTACGCATTTGGCACGCGGGTACACATATCAACCTTGTAATATTATTAGTGCCGAAACAAGCAGCTGTAAGAAAACTGAAATCGCGTTCATCCGTTCCGTTTTGTTTTCATCAGCGCGAACATCAAGAGACCTTTAGTTCCAAGCATGAAATTGGTCCATCAGAAGATTCTTCGAAAGGAGCTGACAATGTATACCTTGAAAAAAACTAAATCAAACAACGTTAGCCAGTACCAGAATAAAACAAACATTCAAGACTGAGGTTACATCTACCTGGGTTCATATGATAACTTTTCAGAGCTATCTATGCATGTATGTGGACATGCCTTTTGGAAATAAAAATTGGTCCATCCAAAAGCCAAAAGCTGGTTGGTATAAAGGTATTAGGCAGAAGGGGCTAGCTAAGGTTGCACTTTCACATAGAAACATTGAATGTACACTGAACAACGGAAAGCCTCGCGCATAAACACATGTGGAATGAATTTCGAGAACACCATTATCCATTGCCCCGTAGACAACAGTGGGTACCTGAATGATGCCTGATAACGCTTGCCTACGTCCCGTAATGGGGCTTAAAGACTACAAAACTACCCTTTTAATGCCGGATTTATCCTCAAAATGCCTTCCATATGAGTGTACACGGGACGCCGACCAGTCTCGGCATCGCCATGCGACATGACAGGTAAAAGAAGGTAAGCATAGGATTTGGTGAAAGACGAGTGCGCCATAAATGACTTCGTCTTGCCGTTAGACAGCTGACGATCCATTCAAGCGTGGTTAGGAAATACGAGCTCGTCCGTATGCCACGAGAAGGCCACCGTGCTCATCCGAGCTCCACGGACAACTGATAACACAGACCAACATTTGGCAACCTCCGTGTGCCGATTTTGTCCTTCGATGTTTTTTTTTGTTTTGAAACTGCTGGGATGGTTTGGTAATCGATGTTTTCGTATGGCTTTCTTCCTGGCTAAATACTAATTTAATGACAGAAATTCATTTGGCATATGTTTCTTTGGCAGGAAACGTTGCTGGATAAAGCAGATAAGATCTGAGTTGTAGAAAGCTGGATTGGTTTCCTGTTACGAATTTCACAGAAATGGTCCAGTGAGGCTCATCCTCTCAATTCAGTCCAAGGGTTGGCTGGTGTTCATTGTTTAAACATGTCATAAGTAGTTCAATCAATCAGGTGTGCCTACAGACCATTGTGTGTATGCACGTTATCTGTACAATCTGCGACCTGCGATTTATCGGCAAAGGTGTGTAAAATCATGAAGTGCAGTTTTGCGAAATATGATTGAGGTAGGCTGAGCAGGAATAAATGTCTAAGTGGTTGTCGTTCCTAAAGAGCTGGAGCTGGAGCCAATTAAGCGAATAGGAAACTACACCCATGACAGAATCTACCACTAATGATGGTTTATCTCAGAATGGCTCTTAGTCTTGAGTTGGTATTTCATTCTCTCGGAATGTATCGTTAAGTATCTAACTGTACGTTGGAGAGTTATTAAGCTATGTTAGTCTACTCTTGAAGCTACAGCAGGTAATAGACTATTGTTTGCGGAATAGCATGCATTGCATTACTGGAAAGCTTAACAATGAAATGTAACTTTCCTATTTCATCACTTTTGTACAGGCAACTAACTTCTCTTTCTATCAGCCTTAGTATCAGCATTTGTCAGCTAGTTAGCTACAAATTTGTGTCTGATATAACGCAAGTGGGATCCTTTTACATGTAGAATGTCTCCCAATATCCGCAATGAAGCCAGCAATACGCGCTAAAAGTCCTAAAAACTTTTTAAATTTAAGCCCGCATGCTCTGGGCCTGCGGGCAGCAAAAAGGCGGTACTAGCAGGTCAGATCGAGCTGTAGCTACGGCACACACACCATATGGTGGCATTTAACAGCTGTCGTTTTTCCATGCTTTCATTTTCAGAAAACTAGTTTACAGACGACACTTTAAACTGAGAATGCATTATTTGGCCACTTTGTATGCGTGAAGAAAACTATGAAGATTCAAATAACAAATTAAGTATGACATTGTAACAGCTATGTTAGCTGACCATATCAACTCATGTTTCGTTTGCATTTACTTTTGGTCAGCTAGCATTTTTGCTGTGATAACTGTCTTGAAATAAGAACCGTCAGAGAGAAAATCAGAATTATTACAATTTATTCATAAATGTACAGCAGAAAATTCGGCGATCTTTTTCAGAGATGAAATTGCAATTGTGGCAGCTGTGTCAGTTCATCCTGTCGGCTGACATTTCGTTGACATTTGCCGTAAGGCTGCCTCTTGGGCTTCTCCGAAATTGGAGACCAAACCTCAGGTGACCCAGAACTTTGTTATCCATGCTGCCGGCAACGCCCTGAACAAAATGGATGAATTCGTGGACTGAGTGCACAATTTGTGATAATTGTGAGCATTGGGATGGGTAGGAATTTAAGAAAAACAACTAACACGGATGCTGACAATGAAAAGTGCTGCTTGCTTGCTAGTTTATAAAATGTTTAACAACTTAGCTGAATTATCCCATGACAGCCTACAAATCATGACAATCCTGGATAACAGAAATTGCTGTGATGCTGCCTCGTGCTTCCCACCGGCGCTGATTTTGCCATGGCCCACTCACCGCAATATTTGTAAAGCCCAACATTTTCCACTTGACTTTGCTCGAGCGAATCAATGAATGGAATGCTAAGATGCGTCGTCACCCACCGATCACTGTGCGCTGCTCAGTGGTTCCCTGTTACGTCTTTCATGTCTTTTTTCATGTCTTACGTGTATCACGTCTTTTCAACTGTCTGACACTGTTTAGACTGCAGCCATGCATACCTCTGAACCTCAGTATGAGTACAATGATGTCATTTGTACTAAATGAGTGTAAATGTGGATAACACATCTACTGATGGCAATGGTGGGGTAAGGTGCAAAAATTCGATAATATTTGGGACATAACAAACATTAAATTAAGTTAAAAACAACTAGTTTTCAAGCTGCACGTGGCTATTGAAAACGATTGGGTAAACAGAGAGAGGGTACAATACACCTTTTCCCGATTCAAACCTACCTCATTGTATTTCGAGTGTGTGTGTAGAGGGCGGGCTAAGTCTATATGCAGTTGCTGGCGAGTGGGCAGAGTTATGACTGTACGAGTAGAGGGCAGGTTTAGGTGTGACAATCTCGTGAAGGGCTCCAGCGATGAGTATGAGAAAACATGCTTTCAAGATACGTTTTTATGTTGCTCCCACAGTTGCAAATATATCATAGACAGCCAGTGTTTTTTTCGCAATCTTCCGAATGCATCGGAGTAGCCTACACATAGCTAAAAATGTAACCGGACAGCACATTTACTGGCATGGTCACCCTTGTCCTCTTGCACAGGATTAGCGTCTCGCAATAGCTGCAGTGACTCGCAGGCGCACGGCCACTTGTCAGAACACGGTGCGTTGACCCAATATATTTAGACCACATCACGGATGGCATCAATCCGCGGACGGCGAGTGGACCCGTGGGCGGGTTGGAAAGTTGTGAACAAAATTCGGGCTACACACTGATTAGGACCGCAACGTATTGAATAATTCTCAGGATCGCACGGACAGAATGAACTGAAAATCCATTAAATTTCAAATGACACTGACTGAAGTTACAGCGCTTATTGCAGCAGCCCTATTAAAATAGCTTCCATCCTACAAAAATGACGATTTCAGTCATAAGTAATGAAGCTTTATCCTAAAGTAAGGAGGATAACATATCTGGGCTATTTTTCTCACAAAAATAGATGTTCACAATTAATTACAACAGTTTGAAAGGTAGTCACCGAGCTAATGCCTACCATTTATGCAGGTGACGTAACCCATAGCTGCTTGTTAGTAATGTAGGTAAAACGCATGTTGAAAACATTCTACACAGTCACACCGTTACTAATCTACCCAGCTAAGATCAAAACAATTTCGGGTCAGTTGATGCTTGGTCCTCCATTGCTGAGATGCCCGAAAGCGGCTTTGCCCAAAGACAAACAGAATCACAACTGACACGGTCAGCAGACATAGCTGCCGCAATTTCAAACTCATTTCTCAACAAGATCGTGTAACATTTCGTACCTTACTTATAAATTCTGACAATAAGGAATTCTTCAAAGCAGCATCATTTTATGCAGGCTACCTATTTCCAAAGTCGCTAGCCGAGAAACGCCAGCAAGTCAAAGGTGAGTGTAGACAAAACGGCAGCTGACAATGTCAATTGACACAACTACAAACAGCATCCTAAAACCTTGCACAAACCTTTTTTACCGGAGCTCATGGATACATCACGTGATATTAAAATATTGCGTATGATCTTGAATCGCCCTCTGTAACTTGTTAGAAATCCTGAGATGCAGAACATTGCTATCTGTTTTGATGCGGCTAGATTTATTCCAAACCTGAACTTTCCTTTTCGCTGAACTTTTGCTTCGAAATATAGAATGAAAGAAAGAAATCACGATCGTAAGAAAATTCCGACGGACAGACCGTCGTTATGGCGACTTGCCGGGGTCGTGGTTTCTTAGCAGTCTCCACCACTGGCAGGCGGATTACCGTGCACGGAGGGACAGCAGCAGTCCGGGTCGGCAAGGGTGGCCGCCGACGGAGGGACAGCGGCAGCTCGGGTCGGCCCGGGTGCCCGCCGACGGAGGGACAGCGGCAGATTGGGTCGGCCCGGGCACTCGCTGACAGAGGGACAGTGGCAGCTCGTGTCGGCCAGGGCACCCGCCGACGGAGGGACACGCCTGGTGCCGTGAGGTCGCCCGGAGACGGTGGCCTCAGGCTACCGCCGCCACTACAGGCCGCCGCACCCGGGCACTGGCGTTCAGAGGTCTCGTTATGCTTGTTCAGGCTGTATCTAATGGCGTGCTTGTTTACCTGTGCTAGATTTGTCTGCGTGGTGCATAGCTGTCCATGACGACAGTGTGGTCAAAGAACTTTGCCGCCTCTTCAGAACGTGACATTCATTTTAATTATGTTTAGAAACAAGATTTAAAACACAGCCTCCTACTGACTTACGAAACATTCTATTGGCTTGGGGGGCGTGTGAAGCGTGCAAATTTGCTTATCTAACAGACTTCGAACAGCCCGGCAAGCCCAATGCACAAGAATACTTTTAAATCTGAATGCCACAACTTGAGAAGGATTATTGCATCGCTTCAGATGTATTCACTGTACACACAGTGCCAAAGAAGCAGCGACCGGGTCCTTTCTGCATACTTCCATACTAGGCATCCGCATACTACCGGTGCTAGCTGGTGCCGTTAGATCAGGGCTCCGCCGTAATGTGCATACATCCCGAGCCCTGACACATCTTATAATGCTCAGGCACACATCCCGAGCCATAACCCACATTGCAATACTCGGGCAAGATTGCTATTATTCTTCACTGGGTTATGGGACCGGAGCGGCCCGAACGGACTGACGATGTCTAGAGCCTGGAGCATTAATATAAGTCCTGCAGCAAGGCCAGGGGGCCTTTAACATATTAAGCAAGCGACTAACGCCGAGTAATGGTCTCGCACTCGCTGATCCAGGTCAGAGGAAGGGTCCAGGCAGAAGCATAATCGAGCGCGCGCAACCCATGGCATTGTGTGGCGGCGCGCATTGACGTCCACGAAAATGCTGACCGTTTTCTTCAATGCAGTCAATTTTATTGTCAATCTTTGAAGATTCGTCACCAATATTCAACCTGCCTGCACACGACTTAGAACAACAAATTAAGAAATCATACATGATCAGCTTGGTCTTGAATAGTCTCTGTCATCAACAGCACGCCGCACACACACTTTTAAAGCGCTGAATGGTGGAAGCGTGCACGCCATGCCAGTGCTGCACAGTGAGCCTGTAACTGAGCTGCCATGCTGATGTCTTCATCGGCGTAACACCAAGGACGTGATCATGCCGATAGCAGATTAAAAGTGGGGCATGTAACTAACAGCGTTTTTGGAATCGTTGATTCAGATCGTCATGCGATCGCACACTGTCGTAATGATGCCAATCCTTTGTCGTTTTCAAAAACGTCTAGAATGAGCGAAACACTTAAGGTATTGGCAATGCTTACAGACTTTGTGAACAAACGGGCCAGATAAAGATGAAACTACCGCTGCCACAGATGAAAGCCACTTGCAACCGGCGATAACAATTCAGGGAAATGTGCAACACGCGTTCACTGCGAGATGGAAAAGATAAAACACCAGCAAAAGTAAGACAACACACTGTATCATCAGTGTTCTACGGTCTCGCTTCATAGCCACCATGTGGCGAAGACAACACAGGTCGACCCACCTTTATCAGAAGACGACACGTTCAGGGCGCGGGTGAAGTGGTCGTCGACCACGGACGAGGCGCTTCCGGCGTAATGAGTTACCAGCATACAGCTGAAACGGCCAGACCACCCTGAGTTACCCATGTCCAGCGCAGGAACACGCGCCAGGTGAGTGATAGCAAGCGGCGACGGAAAGCGAACTGCGTACTGCACCAGCTGTCAACGGCGGGGCCAAGTGACGTCACGAGCTGTGGAGCGGCATCCGAGCCTCCCGCCGGCAGATTTAGACAAAATCGGCTCCGCCAATGTGACGTTCATGACGACAGGCGTCACACCCACCTGGAGGAAAGTCTAGGACGTCCCTCTTACTTAGAGGTCACCCAGGTAAGCCCCCTAAATTTTGAGGATGAACGGGACGTCCTCTCACCCGGAGGATAAGTGGGGAGGTACTGCTGACCTGGAGGACAAACAGGAGCGTAGGGGAGGGGGCGAGCAAGAACGCGGGGGACAAGCAGAGACACGCCACTAGATTTTAGAATAAACACGGTAACTTTGCTTAACTAAACAACAAACTAAGGCGTTTCACTTTCCCAAATAACAAGCAGTAACGACCTAATTCATCCGGGGACACCGGGGCCGTGTCACTCACCTGGAGGACAGGTACTTGACGTCCCGCTTCTCCTCCTCCTCATTAACGGGAGACGATGAGGACGGCAGCGGTGAGGACGGCGACGGCTTCAGTGAGTAGTTGCTGGCTCCACCCGCCCGGTACAGGTGCTCGTGTAGGCGCTGGCGCTGCAACGGCGCCGGCACGTTCAGGAGTCGCTTGTTTGGGGGCGACACCACGCAGACGGTGAGGCGGCAACATCACGGCTGCACGGTGGTGAAACGGGCAGGATGTTACCGACAGAACACCACGGCACATGTCCTTCAGAGAAATGACTGACTGGATTTGTTCGTGAGAATACCTTTGGTAGCCGTGCCATGTTTCTTTGGCCTGTGAATGCACGCACATTGCACCGCACGGCATTGTTGAACTCTCTTCATGCTTCATGGTGCAAATATTTCCGACCATCAGCTTTACGCACCATCATCCTTGCCAAATATTTAAGAATCTCTGCTGCCGAATCTCCCTACAATGCCCTGCAAATAGCTTACGACATGCCTACTTTAATATTAAATCATCCCATCTTCTTGACGGTGTTTTCTATAGCGTACGCAAACAAGTAAGCACCCTCGTCTGTTATGCTTGCCTGCTTTGAGGCGCCAGTACGTACGGCATGGAGTGCATTGCCCTCTTCGCTCTTCTAACCGGGGTTAGCCGACGTGGCGGTGACCCCCATCAGCAGCCTCCCCTCTCTCCCACTGATAGGGAGGGGCAGCATTGGAGGATTGGAGGGATCGCATGAAACGGAACCGACCCAACTCCGCAGACGGACGCTGGACGTGCCCCGTGTGGGCTATGCTGACCTCACAGGCAGCTGGCAGTACCCTCTGAAGCTACCCGGTGTGACCTCACAGGCAGCTGGCGGTACCCTCTGAAGCTACCCGATGTGACCTCACAGGCAGCTGGCAGTACCCTCTGAAGCTGCCCGGCGTGACCTCACAGGCAGCTGGCAGTACCCTCTGGAGCCACCCGATGTGACCTCACAGGCAGCTGGCAGTACCCTCTGAAGCTACCCGATGCGACATCACAGGCAGCTCTCGGTACCTCTGAAGTCACCCCCATGCGGCCTCACAGGCAGCTCGCGGTACCCTATGAAGACGCCCGATGCGACCTCACAGGCAGCTTGCGGCGCCCTCTGAAGTCACCCCATGCGGCCTCACAGGCAGCTCGCGGTACCCTCTGGACCCATCCGATGCGACCTCACAGGCAGCTCGTGGTACCCTCTGAAAACACCCGATGTGACCTCACAGGCAGCTCGCGGTACCCTCTGAATTCACCCCATGCGACCCCACAGGCAGCTCGTGGTACCCTCTGAAGCCATCCGATACGACCTCACAGGCATCTTGCGGTACCCTCTGGAGCCATCCGATACGAACTCACAGGCAGCTCGCAGTACCCTCTGGAGCCACCCTCGCGCCCAGCCGATCTGAACGTTGACATTGCGTGCTCGGACTGCGGGCGTTAAATGCAGAACCCAGGCGCATCGACGGCCACCACTCGAAACCACGTCAGCTCGCAGGAAAATAGGAGGTGGAGAAACACCCTTTCGACTGTCTTCAATCCATGTTCGGCCATGCAACGCCACAAAAGTTTACAATAAATGCTTGCTTCCCATATCGGGGTCGATCGCCCCCTCTGCCTCGACCGATGGCCATCGTTCAGTCCATGATCGCCACTCCCCTCCCTTGCCTCATCTTCCCGCGAGACGGTGGTGTCTCTGCGTTATTCGGCCGCGAAGGTGTTGGTAGTGCCCGTGTGTCCGCTGCGTCAGCGTGTGCGCGCCGGTTACGGTCTCCGACAGTCCTCCGTGGGTGTCGGTGGTGCCCGTGTGTCCGCGCGTCACGTGTGCGCGCCGGTTACGGTCTCCGACAGTCCTCCGTGGGTGTCGGTGGTGCCCGTGTGTCCATGCGTCGCGTGTCCGCTCGGATTACCGTCTCCGACAGTCCTCCGGTGGGTGTCGGTGGTGCCCGTGTGTCCGCGCGTCACGCGCTGCGCGCCGGTTACGGTCTCCGACAGCCCGTCAGGAGGCAAGAGCGGCATGGCCTGAGCACATCAAGCTTCTAACAGAACACCCCCATTCAACGCATGTTCCATTCCTTCATTGCAGCCAGACAAAACTGACTACCAAGTGTAATCAAACCTGTCTTGTTTTGCATGTCATCAACTGCTCGGTCAAGTACACCTTCCGTTTTTATCTCATGACTAGCGTTTTCTTCTACTGATCAGATTCCGAGGCCTTGGCTCGAGTCTGATCCCACGTTATCAATATGCGAATCCTTTATTATTCACGTTGCATCGCGCCAGTGTTCGCCGCGCAGCCGACATACACTGTGACAAGAAAGGTCGCCGCGGACTGCGTACGACAGCTGCGACGGCCAGCGCTGGAAATCGCATCCGATGATAGAGTCAAGCCAGCCAACATATGCCTATACTAATGCAAGGAGATCTACCGATACCAAGCCAGCAGATTTAGGTAGTTCTCGCACACCTTATGCATGTTTTGTTTCCGAGTGGAAAGTTTGCAAGTGTACACATCGGACAGCTTTTATTAGTGGCCAACTCGAAATGGTTGATTTACACATCCCTCATGCCATACGCTGACGGCTCAAGGCTTTAATGTCGCCGACTCTCCGGACCGTATTGCGACTTCGGCAATGAAATATGCTCGCCTTGCGCTGGGTTGCGACTCAGTTTCCAAAATCAAATATGGGTTTTCCCAGCCCCAGGAGAGACACCTCCTCGTTCAGATTGAGGGACACTGCAATCCCACGGGCACCCGAGGTATAAGCTTACAAACTTGGACAGAAACTGAGCCTTACTTAGGTTGTGGCGCATCTACAAACGTAAGCACACGAGCACAGCCACAGAACAAAAGCCCCCTAAGCCAAGGTAGAGAGGAACCTCCAGCCCAAACAGGGGGATGAATGAATGATATTTCAAATTCTCGTAGAAGGACTTCCGCAGCGTCCGATAAAGGGACGTTGCAAGGCCGAAGAAGAGAGCTCGAGCCAAGGCGAAGAGGCGGACCAAACCCAGGCAGAGTGGCTCCCCTCAGCCTTACCAGATAAGTGCCGTCGGTAACTGAAAGGGGGAGGTCGTCAAGGTAACTGAAAGGGGGAGGTCGTCAAGCGGGGGCAGAGGCAGCTTCCAAGTAAGGAGCATGCCTCCCATTGTGAAGACGTATGAGTTGGAAGTGGTACAGCGTTAAGGATGATACATCTACGCACATCGCGCAGCTGCTCACAGATTATGCACACGAATGGCCTCCTGGTGTGCTACAGGGCTCTACTCGACTCCATCTGTTCCCCGGCCCGCGGTCAGGGAAATCAAACGGAACCCTCTTCACACCTTTTTTATTATTTGGGGCCCGCTATGCAAGGAAATCTTGGGGGCGCGCCTTGTTGTGATGCCTATTCGCTTTTGGTAGGCATTGTGGAAAAAGAGCAAAATTCTACAAGCAAAATATCGAACACATACGAGGAGCAACGTGCATCTTTACAGTTAAATAATACATAGGTCAGCGAATAAGGTGACAAGGATGGTGTGGGCGCATGGACCACAGCCGTGATTTGATTGTGATGTAGTTTTTGGGCGCATCGGCCGCGAGAGGTCATGCAGCGATAGCAAGGGCTCCGCGCTTGTAGACAATCTTTCGGCGCAGTGCGTTGGTGTGTTATTGAATAGGACAGCCCAGCACGATGCTGAGCAGTGTCAGGCGACGGGTCCCTGTGTGTCAATAGCACAGCCCAGCACGACACTGAACCGTGTCAGGCGACGGGTCTCTGCGTGTCAATAGCACAGCCCAGCAGACACCGAACCGTGTCAAGTGACGGGTCCCTGCGTGTCAACAGCGCAGCCCAGCACGACACTGAGCTGTGTCAGGCAACGGGTCCCTGTGTATAGTCATCGCTGAGCGATGTCATGCACAAATTATTTCCGAAGCGAAACAAGCCCAGGACTAGTTGTCTTCAAGCTCCCTGACATTAATGTTACGGTGTCTAATGGTATGGTATTCTAATGGTAATGGTATCTAATGGTAATGGTATCTAATGGCAAAGCACCAAAGGTTCGGAGCTTTATTTTATTGGAAAAGGAGTTTCTTTGAAAACAAGCTTTTGAGACCTATGTTGGCAGATCTTTGGAACAGATGGGGTGAGGGTGGGGAAACATGTCCACGATTCCTTCCACACGATGCACGGACTACCACCTTTGTGCTCCCTGCGTCGGCTCACAGTCTCATGACCTTTGGCATAAAGTATTGCCGTACTGCGTGTGCAGCTGCAATGTACCGTCCTCCCACCAGGCCCATTTTATCCTCAATCTTGCCGACATGCTGCAGCGTAGAGAGCGAGCGGATGGAACAAGACAGATGTTCTACAAACTACGAGAACATGCCGACATTTTCTAAATATCTCCCCCCCCCCAATATTTTCGGTGGGCTCTATCCCTTTCAAGCGTATGTGTCGGCGTGTGTGCGTGCGTGCGTGCGAGCGTGCGTGCGTGCGTGCGTACGTGCGTACGTACGTACGTACGTGCGTGCGTGCGTGCGTGCGTGCGTGCGTGCGTGCGTGCGTGCGCGTGCGCGTGTGTGTCATAGCCAGGCCTGCACTCGATTCCACGTGAAGTTGGAGTCGACTGTAGAACCACACGGCGTTCGTTGAATCTGGGCTGAACCAATTCATTAAAGGGAGTGTGCAGCCTTTGAGGCATATGTCAAAAACATATTCTGGTAAGACCTCCGGACCAGTTACGTCTAGTAATAACATTGATGTCACTGTTTAGCGACTCACTGCAGCACCATGAATATCAATACAGATATCAATCTTCATTATTATCGTGTCCACATTACGCTGCCAGCGCTTTTGTAGCAACATTGTGCTTCTTCCCTGCAGTCGCAACCACCAGCGTCATGACAAATACCGTGCGCACCTCCTCTGGTGGGAATAAAATAGCGTTTGTGATTGGCCCAGCGGACAAGGGCCCTATTCCCGAGAAGAGCGTTGGTTGATATTTGAACCAGATCGTGACATGGATCGTGTGCCACTCCCAAAGCTAAAGTGTACCTAAAAATGAGCCACTGTGGTGAACACTAAATGGGAGAAATCAGAGCCTTAGTGCAAAGTACTTC